AACAAGAGCGGCACGTTAAGTGGAAAAGAAGCAAAGTTGAGATAGGTTGCGCTTAGGATAGGAGGATAGAAACAACGCGTGCACACACACACACAAATGCACACACACACACACACACAGACACATACACACGCACACTTGCGCCCACACACACACCCACACACATACACACACTCGCGCCCACACACAAATGCACACACACACACACAAATGCACACGTTACGCACCATCTGCGGCACGCGCATCTTGCGGAAGCGCGGCGACGTCACGTCCACGGGCATTTTGCCGCGTGCGCACAGCTGCTCCACAACAGCAGTGGCCGACTCCTCGCTGCACACGCGCTCAACAAGCGCGCCAATGCCGTCTGCATTCAGGAACGCGTCCAGGTCGTTTGCCTTGGTGTACGTCTCAAGCACATCGGGTCCAACCTCGCGACACAGCGACTGGAACGACGCCACAAACGCCTTCACCTCATCACGCTCACCGCCAGCTGCACTGCCATCACCATGCTGCTGCTGCTGCTGTTGTTGTTCCTGTCCATGCGCTGCACACAGCGCACCCGTGTTGAGGTGCCAGGATGGCATGGCCTCCAGCAGCTGCACGCCGCGGTAGTCGCTGATGAGCGACTGCACCGTGTTCTTCCAGTGGCCAAGGAACGCCGGGTTGTCCACAATGTCCGCGCCAGAGAGTGCAGCGTGCATGAGCGCATCGGCCCACGCCAGGCCCTTGCGCTCCAGCGAGATGGTGAGATGCGACGAGCCCTCCTCGCCCGACAGCGCAAAGTGGATGATGCCCTTGGGCATGTACATGGTGTCGCCGGCACGCAGCGTGAACTCGTTGCAGCGCATGCCACGCAGGTCTCTGTCCTCGTAGCGCGTGCACCCTTCTTGCTTCTGGCGCCGGATCTCCTGCAGCTGGCCCAGCTGCGCAGGGTTGAAGTGCTTGATGGTCTCTGTCTCGCTTGGACGCGAGCGTGTGCCGTGGCGGCTTGGGAAGGAAGAAGACGACGACGAAGCAGAAGCAGAAGCACCGTGGTCCCCAGTGCCGGTGTTGGTGTTGTCGTCGTCCTCCGCGTTGGTGTCGCTTCCGTCGTTGTCAGTGTCGGTTTCGGAGACGTATGCGTCTGGGATGCAGGTTGTCCAGCGCTTTGAGCCGTGGAGCTGGATGACAAGGACGTCGTAGGGGTCTGTGTGCGGCATGAGGGCGCGCGACTCGTTCTGCGTGGCGTGGTACAGGTGGACCGTGGACTCTGTGCCAAACACGTCGCGCACGCCGTCCTGCAGCTGCTTGACGTGGTCCTCTGCGGGGGAGTCCACGAGGTCCTCGTAGCGGATGAGCAAACCCGCGCCGGCAGCCAGCTCGTCCTCCATCTGCTTGCACGAGGACACCTGCCGTGTCTCGCCTTGCTCCTTCATCTGTTTTGTGTGTGTGTGTGTGGGGGGGGGGGTTAAGGGGGGTGGAATGGGAGTTGCTGTGATGCAAACACACACACACACACACACACACACACACACGCATACGCACACACGCACACACGCACACACGCATACGCACACACGCACACACGCACGCACGCACGCACGCACGCACACACAGCACACCACCGCCACCACCACGAATACGAATTTGCCTGCAGGCAAAAGGTAAAACTGGTAGAAGGTGCCACTCTATCCATGAAGGTGTGTGAGAACGTACGCACACAGACGCCAGACACGCACGCATGCACATATGCACAGGTGCACACAGAGGTCTGAAAGCGCACACTCACAAGCACGCTCTGCAAATGCCCACCTGGAATCCGCCATTTTGCTTGTCTTGCAGCTCAAACGCCCTGCACAGCTCTGGCACTCGTGCCAATGGCCGTGTTAGGAACCGCATGTGCGGTGACATGACATCCTCGGCGATGAGCGTGTCCCGCTGATACCAGGCGCCAAAGAAAGTGCTGTGATTGACCTCCTGTGTCAGGAAGAAGTCTTCGAAGGATAGCGAAGACTGTGTTCTTCTGCGGTGTGGGCGTGCAGGGCTCCCAGGAGGAGCAGAAGGCCACGCACGATTATGATGGGCCGCTGCATTTTCGTTCACGACAGTAAAACGCTCGGCGGCATCGGCGCTGTGTACTGCCGCGATCGCCATGAGCAGCCATGCACATGCAGCTGCAGTTGTTGCCCTTGCCATACTGTTGCGTGAAGTAGTGGGTGGGCTCATTTCTCATGGGATGGGGGAAAGAGGGTTGAGTGCCTTCTTGCCTTCTGCTGTTGAGCGCGTTGAGCGCGGCTCTTAGCTGTCCGAGCTTCTCCTGTGTTTGAGGCTCCTTCCTTTCTCGGGTTGCTGGTCTGACTGAAGGCAAGCAAGGCACTCCATCAAGCCATCAAAGGAAGAAGAACCGAAAATGCCTGACACAAAAGAACACACCAAGCCAGTGCGTGCAAAACTGCACGCAGACTGCACCACAACCAGATGCGCGTGTTGTGCGCGTTGGTTCGCGGTGACGTCGACGAATACACATCGCGATGTCGCGTTTTGCAACGAAAATTGGGAATATTGCCTTGCGTGCGTTTAATTTGTGCAAGCCAGGCGCTGGCGCCTACCACAAGCAACCCACACCCACATACACCCCCCCACACACTCTCTCACATCCACGCGTCTGCGCTGCCTGCTTGATCGTCATGGGCGAACATGTCATCCTCGTCGTCTTGCTGCCACACGTCTGTTTCGTGTGTGTCGTCTGTGTCAGCGCTCTCGTCCTTGAGCCCACGGAAGAACGCCTTGGCGATGCGAAGGCGTGCTTCCAAGTACGGAAAACAGACCTGCAGTGTGGCGTTGGTGTTGGTGTTGGTGTTGTTGAGATTGATGTGCAACCCACACATGGAGAAAGAGACAGGCGCACGGATACGCAGGTATGCACACGGATAAGCACACGGACATGCACACTCACTCAGTCGCACACACACACACACACACACGCACTCTCTCTCTCTCTCACTCTCACTCTCACACACATGCCAGCTGAGAGATCTTACCGGACAGGTGTCATGCTCAAACTGAACGTGTTCTCCCGACTCCCCAAGATGAATGGTGCAACTGAAGGCCGTGAACGCCCTGCCCCAACAAAGGAATGAGCGGAGAAGTGTGAACATCTGAACATGGTATGGTCACTTTTCAGCCATCAGAAAGACATTTGCACACACACACACACACACACACACACACACACACACAAACAAATGAACTAACCAAATGAACATCCAAACAAACAAACAAACAAACAAACAAACAGACAACAAATGAACAAACACACGCACGCAACGCACTCGTGAAGGAGCCAGCCATTGGCGCGTTGTATCAAGTCGCGGCAGCGCTGCGATGCCTCTGCCAAGGCCACGCATTCATTCAACGCAACACTGCACAAGGACACCTGCACCGTGTATGGTTGTGGTTGTGTGCATCAGACGCAGGCAATGAAGAGTCATACGAAGCCACACTGCGTGCATTGACACACGACACTGCACTGACGCACCTTGGTCCAGGTGGACGTGCCGTTGAAAGCGAGCTTGTTGAGTATTTGCACAATGTAATCGAAGCAGTTGTTGGCTGTGGCATGATAGCTGTTGCCGAAAGCAAATGACAACACGCACAGGCACGGGCGCCCCAAGCAAGTGGCGTGCACACCGCGTGAGCACTTGTCATATCATCCATGCACAGCACCGCGACGCAAGCACAAGGACAGGGACAGAAGCAAGCGAAGGTACCCGCGCACACGTAGGCACAGCGACACACTTGGCATGCAGGCGCAGAGACAGGTAAATACACACACACACACACACACACACACACACACACACACACACACACACACACACACACACACACACACACACACACACACACACACACACACACACACACACACGCTGGGGAGGCTCGGCGCCAGTGTTCTGTTTCGCTTGCTAATGTGGAATCAACCTTCGGCCCCTCTGTGACACCGGGGGCATGGCATTGCGCGTGCGTGCATGAGTTCAGTTCCCTTGTCGGGAAGGGGGGCACGACAGCTAACAGGACATCAGCAGGGCCACACTGTTCTCACCGATGCCAAGATCGAGGATGATGCACTTATCCCATCCAGAGTCTTCCTGGAACAACCCCTTTGAATCAAAGTTCCACACCTTGCCTGAAATGAAACGATTGTGTGTGTGTGTGTGTGTGTGTGTGTGTGTGTGTGTGTGCGCGCGCGTGCGTGCGTGTGTGCATGTGTGCAAGTGCAAAAGTGGATAAGTGCATGAGTTGAGCGAATGAGAATGAGTGCGCGTGGATGTCACAATACGAGGGATGCAGGATGAGGGTAAAACGTTCCAAGGCCACGTTTGGCCTGCACGACTGCTGCTCAAACGCAACGCAAGCACGCATTCAAGGTCACAGCGCACCCAAGCGCACACACGCATGTACCTGTTGAGTCAGTGATGCCGACGTGTAATACGCTCGCTGTGTCTGCAGACGGTACGTCCCACTCCTGGCCTACGCGCCTCAACACCAACGCACATGGGTGCTTGTGTGCAGACACTGGCTGCCACAGCCTGTCCAAGCGCGATGCGGTGTGCGTATGTGTGTGTGTGTGTGTATGTGTGTGATGTGTGTGCGCGTTCATCGGCCAACCCGTATGTTTGTGATGTGTGCGCGTTCATCGGCCAACCCGTATGTTTGTGATGTGTGCGCGTTCATCGGCCAACCCGCAGAGAGCAGACAGATGAAGGCGTCACATCATGCCACTGCACATGCACAGCTTCTCGGCGAGTGGGTGACGTACGAGAGAAATGTTCGTTTTGAGCAATCTGTCGAAAGCGATGCCTTGCATCGTGGGCAACCGGTCAACTTGGCTCTTGCTGTGCGTACAACCTGGCATTAAAAGCACGTGCACAGGTGCATGTGCACAGGTGCATGTGCACAGGTGCATGTGCACAGTTGAATCGTGTGGGCACTGTGCAACAGACCAGAAGTTGTCGCACACAAGGGGGGACACACACGCACACACACACACACAAAGGAGCACCACATGGACGACGTATGTACCTACACACACACACACACACACACACACACACACATGCACACCTTGATGTGGTTGCTGCACTTTAAGCTGCACAAAACAGGGTTGCCCGATGACATGGTTGGTGACCGTTGTTAGCGTTGTGGAAATTCTGCGAATGTTTTCGGACGAGAAGGACGTGCTGGCTTTTCCCCTTTCTCGTTCACATCAGTCGGCTGTCCTTCGCATCGTCGCCCTTGAGCGTCAATAATCGATTACAGACAGACATCCTCGTCTCACATACGTCTCTTTCCTCATCTTCCTCATCATCTTTCTCCTCACTTCCTGTTTCATTTCTTCCACTCGCACCAGCACCGGTGCTTGCAGCTCGGATCAAACATTCGGTCAGTCCTGACTTGCGCGGCCAGAGGGAGGGAGATCAATGAGCGAAACCTTCGACGTTTCAGCAATGCCTGCAGGCTCCGCGCTGCCGCTGTTTTGGTTGTGTTTTGCCGCAATTTTCCGCGACCTTGCTTTGCCCAACCAGCCAGCCAGCCAAACATCCTGCTGCTGCCGCTGTGTGTCGAGTCGAGAGCGTCATTGCTGTCGTTGAGCGAGGTGTCCTTTCAATTTTGCGTGCGCCTTGGCTGACTTTGCAGCGTGCGCCTCTCCTCTGTCCTCGCTCCTCTCGCCTCCTTCCTCTCTCTCTCTCTCTCTTTGGCCTTGCCCTCTTTCCTCTTCTCATTGTCATCGGTTCGCGTGCCCTTGGATCCCGGCTGCTGCTGCTGCTGCTGGACAAGAGGCGTTGCCATTGCAGCGTTAGATGAGCACTCCATCTCGCCGCTGTTCCGCCACCACGCTCCACTCCATCCTCACGCAGCACCGTTGACGGCCCATGGAGCGAGGGTGCAATCGCTGCCGAAAACGACAGCGTCAGGCGTTGCAGGCCCTCCGCCCACAAAGCATGAGACCGCATCACGCGGTGTTCGCACCCGTTTCACAGCAGCTGCTTCTCGTGTCACTCCTTTTCGCCTCTGCCGTTGTCCTTGTTGGTGCGCAAACCAGCTCAACGAGCACCACCTCGCCACGCCCGTCCACAACTTCGCTTGACGCTTGCATTGACACCAACCCGAAGCTGTGCGGTTTCCTTGCGGCTCAGGGAACCTGTAACTCACCCGCATTCTCCGAGCTCGCCACCCGTTGCTGTCAGACCTGCTCAAGTGCGTTTCTGCGTGTGTGTGTGTGTGTGTTTGTGTGTGTGCGTAGATGTCAGGTGCACGATATGTGCGTGTGTGTCGTGCGTGCGTGCGTGTGTGTGTGTGTGCGTGTGTGTGCTGCATGTTGTTTGTGTGCTGCTCGCTGTTTGTGTTGCTCGTCGCTACTGACGGCTGCATACATGTCTCACGCCTGCTGCTGGTTTGTGATTGTGTTGATGTGTTTGTTTACACTGCTGCTTCTGGCTGTGAGCAGATTCCACCCTGAATCCGCCCCCACCGACGTGGTTCGTGTGTGGGTTTCCTGGCGATTCTGATGGAACCCATTGTTCCAGGGAAGGCTTGAGCAACTGCTTTGCAGTCACAACCACCCCAAGCTCCTGTGTGCGGCTTCCAGGTGAGAGAAAAGACATGTACATGCATACGTGCACATGCACATGCGTGTGCGTGTTCATGTGATGGACGATAGGGCTACACACGATACACACATACACACACATTGTCATTGAATGCCTTTTGACAGATCTGCGGGCCCTCAGCTCTGCAATACATTCTTGTTAACTCGACATTTGCTCACCTGCATTCCCAATTCCATTATCTTTATCAGCATCGCTCGGGCTCGGAACGCGCTACTTGCGACTGGAACACCGTGGCCTCAACGATGTTGACCTGCCACACTTTCAATGGTCCATTCATCGTGACCCAGCCTGCATGACGTCCTACTCGCTGTCACAGAGTCTCACAGGCTCATCACAGGTGCGTCAGTTAAGTCGACCGTGTCCGGTTGTGAGCGGTGGACGAAGGCCTGTTTTGACACACTGCATGAGAAACCGATGTAGTGTGTGTCTCGCACGTACACACACACACACACACACACACCTCACACAACGACACACACACACAACACGACACACACACACACAACACGACACACACACACACACACACCTCACTCCACACACACACACACACACACACACACACACACACACACACACACACACACACACACACACACACACGACACACACACACACACACACACACACACACACACACACAACACGACACGACACACACGCACGCGCAGCTTGGCAGCTGTACCAATGTGAGATTTGGTGGAACAACGGTGTTGTACTTGACCATCTTCCGAAACTGCACACGGCTCCCTGATGGCATGTGGGATTGCCAAGGTACATCAGACTAGTCTGCGTGTGGTGTACTGCCTTCCATATCGTGACGGCTGAACGCTGTTTGCATGCTCCGGTGTCGTCCCTCTCAACGCGATCATCTCAACTTTGCCGTGTCCCATCACGTCCCATCACGTCACATCACATCCCATCACTGTGCTGGGTCACTTTTTCAGGCAAGGATTTGCCGTGCTTTCACTGGACAAGGCAGAGCGAGACCCGTTGCTCGCTGCCAACAGACTCATTCACGTGCGAATGGGACGCAAGCGCCGCGTCGTGCGTGCTTGCAGGCACGTCCTCCTTGTGCGCCACGTACTTTCCGCCCGGCTGCGGCCCGGCCCACTGCGCATTCGACACATACTTGCAGCAGTGCAACATTGCCGAGCCTTGTTCGTGCACAACCACAGGCATGAGCGGCAGCACGCCAGTGCCCACAGTGAGTGCCTGTATTGAATGTGCATGCAGGTGCATGCAGGTGCATGCAGGTGCATGGGTGTAATACTTGCGCGTGGGTGCTTGTGAGTACATGCATGCATATGAACCCTGCGGATTGTGGAACGGGGGGAAGTGGAGGTCTGTGTGTGATGAGGCCATTTCCTTCTCAAGTGTTCGGCCACCTAACGCTCAACCGTGTCCACGCGCCACTGCATCAGCTTCCTTCACCTCACGTTACTTGTGCAACCACATTCAAGCGTGCTAATGTCAATCCTCATCATCCCATGCTCATGACACCAAGGGCTGTCTGCGGAATCACAACGAGCCCGGATACGAAGGCGTCCCCATCTGCTACCTCAACGGTGGCGTCGAGCACGTTGCATCGCTGTGCGGTTGCTCAGCCAACAGCGACACGTACCCGGGTGCTTCGTTTCACGCATGCGTACCACAGGGTAAGTTTATTTCTTCTACTGCAGCCGCTCGTGTGTGTATCTGTGTGTGTGAGTGTGTCATGAGTTTGTGTCTGTCGTGTGTCTGTCTTGTGTGTGTGTGTGTGTGTGTGTGTGTGTGTGTGTGTGTGTGTGTGTGTGTGTGTGTGTGTGTGTGCTATTTGTTGTGTGTGCTATTTGTTGTGTGTGTATTTTTACATTTGTGCCCTTGCATCGTCCCTGCCCCGTCAACATTTTCATTCCCTGGTCTGCATCTTGTCATGCATTCTCACACATGTGCCTCGGCGACACCCCTTGTTCCAGACGACTGCAACGTCGTTCATCTCGAGTCGGACGAGTATCCAGAGGTTACGGGAAACTACGTAGCGGTTGAGATTGATGTGAATCCAAATGGCTGTGTGCCCACCACTGTCTTTGTCGCAGATGATTTTGGGTTTGCCAATTCCCTCGTCTTTTTTGCTGCCGTCGCTGACTACGGCTTCAGCCCAGGTATGGCATGTGTGTTTGTGTTTGGATGTGTGCGTGCGTGCGTGCGTGGGTACGTGCGTGCGTGTGTGTGTGCGTTCGTGTGTGCGTGCATTCGTGTGTGTGTGTGTATGTGTTTGTATATGTGTGTGCGTGTGTGCGTGCATTCGTGTGTGTGTATGTGTATGTGTGTGTGTATGTGTGTGTGTGTGTGCTTTTGCTGAGCAATAGTGAGGCGTCCCCGAACCCAAACCCCAACAACAACAACCCCAACAACAACAACCCCAACAACAACAACCCCAACAACAACAACAACAACAACAACAACAACAACAACAACAACCCCAACAACAACAACAACAACAACAACAACAACAACAACAACAACAACAACAACAACAACAACAACAACAATAACAATCGACCTGCCCCTGTGTCGCATTCATCACAGAGAATGTAGCGTGGCGAAACCTGGACAAAACATGGCTGCTTTACGAGTACGTGGATTATGCCATCATCTTCGAAGGCGCAGCCCTCAATGGCTTCATCACCGCTGAGCCCGTCCCATTGACAAAACAGGTTGGAATTGAGAGAGAGAGTGTGTGTGTGTCTGTGTGTTTGTGTGTTTGTGTGTCTGTGTGTGTGTGTGTGTGTGTGTGTGTCTGTGTGTGTGTCTGTGTTTGTGTTTGTGTGTGCGCCATAATCGGCCAATTGACGCTGTTGCCTGTAACCACCGCTTCTGACACGTCCCCCCCCACCACACACACATTTATCCGCTTCCTCTCTCTTGAACAACCAGGTGAGCGACACCTCTCCGTCCGCTCTCACGGGAGTGTGGGATCTTCGAGTTGGAACAGGCCTGCGCAGACCAACCGACGTCAGCGCCACTTGCAGTACGTTCACTTGCATATTCACACCCACACATTCCCGCAGCCCGGCGTGCGGCTTTGGTGTCCTGAATGGCCCTGCAACTGCGTTCACGTCAAGCATGCAAGCAAGCAAGCAAGAAACAAACACACGCACCCACCTGATCACGCTTTGCTTTCCACGCAATTATATGTGCGCTGATAAATAACGCGCTGCACACGTGCTGCTACTGTCTGTGTCTTGCGTTCCAGTGTCCAAGTTCCCCTGCAGCCGGCCGTTCATCACCCCGGCGCCATCCTCCATTGACGACAACATGGACATCCCCGCCAAACTGCAAGCTCTGCAATCCACACCCCGAATCGCCGCCCGCGCCCAGCGCATCCTCTACACCACGCTGCACCATCACTTCACCCTGTCTGTGCTGGCCTTGCACAAGCCCATGCTAAATGCATTTTACACGGCCAGCCTGCCAAACACAGCGACACGGGCATTCATCCCCACCATTGCGCGCATCACGTGCGAGGGCGCGTCGCGCGCAAATGCGACCATCTCCGTGCCAACTGTGGTAAGTGTGATGTTCATGCGGCGTGAATAAGGGCGTGGTGTGTTTTGTCTTCATGTATGCGCACATGTACACTTGTACTTGTGCAAAACAAGCATCACGGGTGGTGGTGCGAGTCCACACGTCTACACGCGTGACCAGCTGTGCCTCAGGCAATCGATGTCGTCCTCTCTATAGCTTTATGTTCTCACATCACCACACACACACACACACACACACACACACACACACACACACACACACACACACACACACACACATACACACACACACACACACATTACCCTGATTGTCAGGCGGTGGTCCTGGATATGCTGGAGGAGATCCATGCAGAGGGAAGCTTCAGTTTGTCGCTAGCCCCTTATGCCACGTACCTGTGCACCATCAACACCATCGGTGACACGTGCATTCCAGCAACGATTGAAGACAAAGTGCTCATCACTCCACCGCTGCCACCACTTGCCCCAGTCAGGGGCCTCGAAGTGACACACGTCACGCGAGCGTGTGTTGATGTGCGTTGGGCGCCGATCTCTCCGCTCGAATTCCGCGGACCCTTGCTTGGATATGACGTCGTCATCACACAGGGGTACGTCTTTGTTCCTGTGTGTTTGTGCGTGTGTGTGTGTGTGTGTTTGCGTGTGCGTGTGTATGTGTTTGCGCGTACTTGCCAACTTGTGTGGTGTGTGTACGTGCCAACTTGTGTGGTGTGTGGACGTGCCAACTTGTGTGGTGTGTGGACGTGCCAACTTGTGTGGTGGTGTATGCTTCTGCATTCTCCTGTCTGGCACTTCGTTCTCCTTGTTCACGCCACGCCCTGACGTTGATCGCTCAACTCTGCAGCCCACCATGCATATAAACACACTCACACATACACAATAAACACATTTGCACACGTCCGTGTTTGCTCATTGACACCTGCAGAGGCGTGCCAATCTCGTCGGTTCGCGTCCTGCAAGCACACGCGCATGTGTGCAACCTTCGCGTTGGCCAACCCTACAATGTACGATGTGCATTTTAACTTTATCACCGTTGTGTGCATGCTTGTTGACCCTGTCATCCGGCTGGAGCTGACATCGTTAGTGTCGTCTTTCGTGTATGTTCATGTCATCATTCCAACTTATGCCATGTGCACAACAGGTGTCTGTCACAGCTGATAATGGAGTTGGTCGCACTGATCCTGTCAGCGTCCCGTTTTACGCAGCGAGCGGAGGTCAGAGCACGCTGCAAAACTTCTTCATGCTGTCATGCGTGATTGGTGATCTCTTCAATGTTTTTTTTCAGCCCCAGCACACTTGAATCCACTCAAACGCACTTGGTAACATTCCTCCGCATTCACACACACACACACACATGCACATGCACATCCACATTCGTTACTCATCTCACTTGCGCGTTACCGTTCCATGCACACACAGTGATTGAAGTGCGATTAAACGTCACCGCCGAGCGCATTGATGACATCGACGACATCGACGACAGCGACGATAGCGTGCAGCTGTCATGGCTGCCACTCTCCCGACAAGCGGGGGCCGGCACCATCCAACGCTATCACATCGCCGTCTTCTCGGCGCGCCGCCTGTCTGATCTCCGGAGTCTTTCACTACCGCACAGCACAGATCCGGCTGAGCTTGTTACCGCCACCCCAGATCGATGCACGTTTGAGGGCTTGACAATCATGAGTGCAAGCTCGGTGCACAGCACAGATCCGAATGCCAAAGTTGTCGTTGTCTTGTCGGGGTTTGCCCCACACCTCGCCTATGCCATCGCCGTCGCCCCTGAAAACCGTGAGCACGTGGGCCCTTTCAGGTTGGTGCGAGGTGTGTGTGTGTGTGTGTGTGTGTGTGTGTGTGTGTGTGTGTGTGTGTGTGTGTGTGTGTGTGTGTGTTTGCGTGTGTGTTTGCGTGTGTGTGTGCGTGTACGTGTGTGTATGTGTGTGTATGTGTGTGTGTTTTGTTTGGTTGTTGTTTGTTCACCTGCTTGTGTGTGTGTGTATCACACATGAGCATCTGTAGCAGCCCATGTCCTCGCGTGTTTTCTGACATGTGTTGCACGGTTTGCTTGCTGCTCTTGCTTTGATCTACAGCTCAATCGCCACCGTCGATGCGACAATCTCGGCAGCGTCGTCTGGCGGGTCCGGCCTCCTTCTCGCGGAAACCATCGCTATTGTGACTATCGTATTGGTCATCGCTGTCATCGGGCTTGTCATCGTGATTGTGCGGTACGTACTTGAACCAGGAGCGTGGCTTGTTGACATCACCTTGCGCGTTCCTGCAAGCTCAGCATTGACTGCTTGGTCGTCCCCTCCACATGCTTTACATGCGTACCTGATGTTACCATCAATTCACACTTCCGTCCTTGCCTTTCACATCGTGGCTTCCTCGCAGGCACCGAGCCCACCGTGCCGGCACAAAGCGCACGCGCATCAAACTCCCATGTATGTTGAGTGCCATGACAACTTCATCATGTGTGTGTGTGTGAGCGTACATGTGTGCGTGTGTGTGAGAGTGTACATGTGTGTGTGTGTGTGTGTGTGTGTGTGTGTGTGTGTGTGTGTGTGTGTGTGTGTGTGTGTGTGTGTGTG